CAGTTAATCTTTCGATCCAAACCACGAATGTCAAACAGATGAATGGAGTGGTTCGAATTCATGGACAAAGAGCGCACTCCATGGTTCACTTGAGTTGTATTGTGGTGTGTGTGTGTGTGTGTGGTGCGGGAAAAGACCAGCAAATTCACCGTGAAACTTGGACTGGTGAAAGACGTAACAGGTTCAACAGGCATAGAGCCGCGCTGTTGTCTAGAATAGACAAATGAACACGCAATGAATTGTACAACGGAATGTCTGTAGTCGTGTATCAGAAAAACATAGGCCTCCAAAAGTCTCCGTATGGTCGGAGGTGGATGTCTAAGGCTGCGGCTGGTCACCCTCCCCGTGCAACTCGCGGAATGCTCCCATACGACCAAGCGTCTCAAATAGCCTCTGCTGAGGAAGCCCTACTCACTGCCTCCTCATGGCGGAGGTGTTTTCCCACCAAAGTGAGAAGACGAATAGCCAACATCCGGGTTGGTAGACCACTGGTAGTTCACCTAGGAGAGCTGGCCAAAAACCCTCGTTCTAAACCAACCATGAGGAGGCTTACGAACCACACATACACCTTTTCGGTTGTGCCAGTGGTCACCTGTTCGATTGTGCATTGAGGCGTTTAGGGCACCTTGGACGTTTGACCTCGTCCGAAGGGCGTATGATTCGATGAACTGGACATCGGCCCCCAATGGACTGCGATTTTCACACACCACCTCGATGCTCTGCGATACAGGCTTTGGCTAGCCGAAGGCTCCGGTTGTGAATTCCTCAAGAAAATTCACCTGCTTTGGTCTGGGCAACCTGGCAGTATTTAGCTCACAAGCCAATCATGGAACGTTTTTTTTTCTTTTCATAAAGATTACTATACCACGATTTGTTTGGCACTCAGTCTAGATTCAGACGTGTGTGAGAATACAATATTATAATAGGAAAACGTGGGCAGAGAGAGTGAATGAAATTCCCGTGGATGAGATCAAAACTGAAGTTGGCGCTACAAAAGAGCTGTCTCGACTGCAGACGCCATTCATTTGTAGCAAATGGAACTCTCTACCATCTCACGTGGTCTGTGCGCCAACATTAATATGTTTCAAGCGTCAGCTTGATGATGCTCTGGGAAACATTGTTTCAACCACATAATATATTCTCCTGTGCTCGTCAAAAACATTACATTCTTATTCAACTTTCATGGACTAACTGTGATCTTGTGAATCGTGTTCCGAACCAAAGTGTTAACACCCTATGGGATTTGATAATTCTTTGTAAGTTTTTTCCCATAATAAAAATTTGAATTTGACGTACCCATCAATTCGCAAATTTCGCTACCCAAACTGGTCACACATGATTGAAAAGCATTTATTGGACAGATGAGTGACAGAAACGCACCTGCTCGCATATCCGCGATAATCTGGTTGCCTCAGAGGCATCGGAATCCTTTTTCTCGTCACTGTCATCCTTATCTGTCGGCTCGCCTGCCGAATCGTTGGATTTTCCATCCTGCGCGGAATCATTATTATTCGTGGTCGTGGAATGGAGTCGATCGTATACAAAATCAACGACTTCCTGACTGGTCATTGAGTTCCATACACCGTCGCAAGCGAGGACCACAAACTCGTCCGAGCCTGGGATTAGATCGTACTGACTAACGTCCGGTGTGGGAGTGATCATTTGTTCGGACAATGAAAGATGTTGAACTTGCTACAATAAAGGCAAGAGTGGGAGCGTCATTAGACAGTCAAAATCAAGGTCAACCGACAATTCTGTAAACAAGACAGGGAGGTCAATGTTCTGCATTTGGTGTGCACAGCCGTGACCGGCGGGTCCGTCATTCGATTTCAGACCCCGTGCTGTTCCTGAGCTTTTCAATTCACGCTGTACACGAACGACAGAAATCACCATACAATCAAATGAAATCCTTCACTACTCCCATGTAACTAGTGTTCAAGTTCGGAATGTTTCTAATCCAGCCATAACCCTGGAAACTAGTGCTGATATGAGTGAGGTATGATGCATGTGATAAGCTTGTAACGGTGGGTTGTGCTACATCGTGTCTAGACAGAATGGGAAAAACCTGGGTCTGATCGGTTGCTCGTGGGTCAACTAGGTGGTGTAATTGCATCTTATCTGTGTTATAACGGGTTAGCGACCCTAAGTTGGGTCGACCGATTCACACTGCCAATGCTTCGCAGAGATTCTTAGCTTCATTTGCTCTATGCACGAAGAAATTTGCTATATTACGGGTATTATTGAACAAAAACTGGATCAGAGTGAAAACATAAAAGACAGATAGGTTACGGGAACAATGAGTGTACCTGTGCGTTCGTTGAGGGAACGGCAATCGGTTCATTGCGAATAATAACGAGAAAAGAATGGGAGAGCAACTGTTACAAAACAAGACCGTCGGAATTTCAGTCGAAAAATGTACTCAAACAACTGAGGATGTGCTCCAATTTTATAAAAGGACGGAAGACACAACCCAGGATGTCGAAAATCAAAGCAACAAATTGTCATTACAGGTCACGTGAGGAACGACAGTAACCTTTTCACACGGAAGGAACGACATACAAACGAGACAGAATCGTTCTATTTTTTCTTCATTTCTTACGGATTGGATCCGACATTAATTAACTTCTCTTATCGATAAACAGTCCACTACTTCCATTTTCAAACCTGTCATACCGCCATGCCTTCAGTGAGCAGCCAGTTACATTGGTCAATAAAGGCCAACTACCGTAAGTCGGCTTCTTTGAGATTGCAACTGAGTAGTAGCTAAGCCCTTTGTATTGTCCTTGTCAAATCGATGACCGAGGAATTTCCAACTACTTATGATCTCTCTTGTACAGGAAACGTTGTAAGAACATTTTTATGCAATAGAATCTGGACGAACTTCGGTTCTTCACCGGTGATGCAAGAACTACGGCCCAACTGTCCACTCGCTCGACAAACTACTTTTCACCGGTCCTCTAAATTAAAGCGTTGGGTTACACAACTAAAGTTGACTTACTTTGTAATTGTGGTCCCCTAGAGCTCGGCTCAAATTCAATCCTCCATTAACACGACCATCGCGGGTGACCGTGCCACCGGCAGCTTGGATGCGAGCTTTTTCATCCTCATCTTCCGGTTTGTGATCTACTGACAAATCAACGGCGGCACGACCACGGCACAAAACGGCCCGCGAATCTCCAGCGTTGGCTACGTACAAACGAACAGCACCGTTCACCGGCAGGACAAGAGCGACACAGGCAGTTGTTCCACTGTCCACGCCTGGTTCTGAGTCCTCCTCTTTCAACAGAGCCGGGATACCCAAACGACAAGCGGTCTCATACTCATCATCGTCATCACCACTGCTGCTTGTCTCCTCCTCGTCATCATCGTCGTCATCGTCATCATCGTCCGAATCGCTTTCTTCATCTTCATCCAGCTGCACACTCTCATCATCACTGTCATCGTCATCTTCGTCAGTATTCTGATTTTCCGCATCTGACACTTTTGGTTTTTCTGACTCAGTCGTATCCTGTTTCGTTTCATCTTTTTCACTGGATTTGTTATCTGTGAGTTCTGAGTCCGCACCAGCTGTCTCGCTGCTAACAGCTATAAAAAAAATGAGCGTCGGCACGACACGAGACACACTCAGTTGAAGCGCAACTCACACAGTGATATCACGAGAATATGCATATGTTTCACATGATTTGTCACAACTAATGACTGTAGGGTATATGCGATCCATGATGTGACAAATCCGCAATATTTCACTAGGTCAGAGTATAGTATGGTGTATTGGTGAGCATGCCAGAAACGAAACGCACTGGTAGTACAGTATGAAAACGATCGCCAGTCACCAAATAACCATAAAATGGGAGCAGGTGAACAGCAAACATCGGTCAAATAAGCGAGAATATTCGGTACAATCATGTGGTTAGGGCTCAAGAGAAGAACGAAACGAGTGGACCGTAGGTTGAAGAGAGTCACAATTTATATAATCGAGCACCGCATGTACTACTCCACCGAATTAGAAGTACCAGTGAAGCAATTGTGTTCACAGCCATACACCGGGAGGGGCCTTTGAAATTGGCCATTTTTTTGTCACTGGAGCTTGTTTTTTTTATCACACTTTGCCTCTGGATATACTTTCGCATCAATTGCAGTGACCTCAATGATTACCTACAACGCGCTCAGTTTAATTCACATACCAGTATCCGTGGGATATACCAACGAATCACCCTTACGTGCTTTTTCTCTTTTTGTGAGAAATAAAATTGAAAGAATCATCAGAAATTCAATTGGTAAACGGAGAAAAAATCGCGCTGGTTGAAAAGTTGCACTTTAAGCACAAAAATCTGAAGAGCATTGGTTTTCCTATCATTTTATCCACATTGGAAGAATAAAAGGCACTCTTGACTTTACTTTACTGCACTGTCCATGCCGAAATACCTCGGGTTATACACGCATAAGTAAGAAAAACCGATGCCCTTCCCACGGAAGGGCCATTGAAGTGAGCAATTGACATCAAGATAGATATTGCGACAACAAAGTGAGGTATCGGTGCGGAGGGGACTTGAATCGAGAACGCAGTATCGTAACAAGAGCCCGAATACAACAACACGAATGGGTCAATTAATAAAAAAACATGCTACATGAGCTCGCATGCGATAGGATGCAAACCTGATTGAACAAGATGCAACAGTAGCAATATCAGTATGTAAATCAGGTGCACAATTAAGATGAAATGAAGTGCATGAATACAAAGTTAGAACTTACCAATTCCGGATCTCCGAGGTCTACAATGAACATGGAATAATGAGACAGTAAAAATTGAGCGGTCAGTGACGGAAGGGCAGGTGGAAGAGAGACAGATGAACACGGTATACACACGATGTGCGAGATTCAACCGTTGTTTGTTCATGAGGTTAATCGAGGGGAAGGGTTGTTTGGTCAATAAATCAGTTCTGTGTTCAAAAGAAAGTGCATTGTTAACCGGCTACCCATCTATTTGACCGACACAATGTGATATCAAACAAAAAGGGCAGTATTAAAATACAACAGAATAAGGATGAGGTGTGGAAAGTGAATAAATGCACAGGTGGTGGTGATGGTGGTGGTGGCGTAGCGGTTCAGTCGCTGTCACTAGCGTGTTTGGACCCTATGGTCCGAGGTTCGAATCCCTCCACCACCACCCAACTTTGGTGGTAGACAGCTTTACTGTCATCTGGTTCAATACCACTTCAAACCTATTGGGGTCTTATGAGGTTCGCTACTCCTGGGCTTAGGTTACCGGTTTCCATGACGGAGCAGCGGGTCTTCGTGAATATGGGGTTCACTCCGTTTGTTGTTCACCACACAAATGTGTGTAATTAAATTTTTTGGTTAAGTATTACACTTTATGATCTATCATTTCGTGTCAACTTCGACTGATCGGGCTAACTGATATTGTCTCAACCCGAGGCTTAACAAGAGAGACATGAACAATTCCACTGGTCAGTGTTTTCATACCTATATGCCGGAACAAAGTCTTTACTGACGCTTTTATGCGACTATCTCCTGCGAGAGTTTGAGTCAGTTTCATGAAGATTATACCTGTGAGAGGGCTAGAAAATTTGGTACAGGACGACTCCCGAGTACCATTTGAGGTAGCACACATACTTGCCAACTACCCAAATAGGGTAAGGGACTTTCTCATAGAGTTCCATTCGGAGCCTTTAGTTATTCAAAACCCAACCCGCAATGCGGCGGAACAGCATCGAGAGTTGGTCCTATGATTGCCGGTAACCAATGTCGGGTATTCATGCCTAGAGGGTAATGAGCTCTGGACAGAGACAAATGGTAGCGAGTTCATATTCCGTGGACCGCGATAGAGCGGATTTATCATGCTGGTGAACGTCAGGCGATAACAACACAGCCAGGCATTGCCTTCTTTCACCCGCGCCTCGAGTGTAAGGGGGTCAGTGACATCGTTCTGAAAGACCCGAAATCTCTGATCTTTTTGTCAAATCACATATCCGAACCGCTAGCTATTCCGTTTCAACGAGTGTTCGACCAAGCAACACTACCCGAATCATGGAGACAAGGAGTCATTTCTCCCATATACAAAGGTGGTTGTCGTAGTGACCCCGCTAACTATAGACCTGTGAACCTGCTTTCGGTGCTATCGAAGGTCATGGAGTCAATTTGTAGCCGATTCTCTGATGGAACATCTCGAAAGATACAGCATTCTCTCGACAGCTCAACACGGGTCTAGGCAAAAGCGATCCTGCACCACGAACTTGCTTCTCGTCGAGATGAATGGACCAATACAGTTGACGAAGGGGATGCGGTGGATGTTATTTACCTTGACTTCGCGAAAGTATCTGATCGAGTGAATTACAAAATTTTACTGCAGAAGATCTATAATTATGGCGTTCGAGATTTCTCATTTGAGTGGATCAAAGCATTCCTCGATCAACGAACCATATCAGTTCGTGTTTCTGATTCTGTATCCGGACCCATCAAA